GATTGGAGGAAGACTCCTTAACAACCTGCGATGTGCAGATGATACAACCTTGATCGCTGGAAGCAAAGAGGACTTAAAATACTGATGAAGATCAAAGACTGCAGCTTCCAGTATGTGCTACACCTCCCGGTAAAGAAAATGCAAATCTCCACAAATGAACCAATATGTAATATTATGATAACTGGAGAATAGATTGAGTTGTCCAAAACTTCGTTTTACTTGGATCTACTCAAGGTAGATCAATGCTCAAGGAAATAATAGTCAAGAAATCAAAAAACATACTGCATTAGGCAACTGTGTTGTCCAAGACCCCTCTTTACAGTGTTGAAGTGCAAAGGTGCTACTTGGAGGCCTAAGGTGCACCTGACCCAAACCATGGTAATTTTAATCATATACGTGTGAACGTTGGACAGTGACTAAGGGAATGACTGATGCATTTGAATTACGATGTTGGAGAAGAATAATGGAAGTACCATGAACTGCCAGAATAAACAAATCTACCTTGAAGAAAGTGGGGCCAGATTGTTTGGAAACTACAATGACCAGACTTTGGCTCTCGTTCTCCCGACATGTTGTCAGGAGACATGAGTTGCTGTAGATGGACATCAAGTGTGGAAGGTCGTGGAGAAAGAGGAGGACTCACAACAAGATGGATGGATACAATGCCAACAATAACAGGTCAAATGTAGCAGCAGTTTTGAGGAGGGCTTGAAACACAAGGGCCAGATTGTGTTTCATTGTTGTACATAGGGTTGCTGTAAGTCAGAACTACTTCAGCAACACCTAACAACAATTTTGTTGCTCGACTATCACCCTTAACCATTCCTAGAATTTCCCATGATCCTTCACAGCTCACTGTCTCCCAAACTTTGTGGCTTCCTTTACCCTTTCTCACACCTGCCCTGGATAACCAACCACTAGTATCTCTATACTTGCCTATTCTAGATGTTTCATATGAGTGAGATCATAGACTATTTGTCCTTTTGTAACTGATTTCTTTCACTCAGCATGAGTTATGTCATAGAATGTATGAGTACTTGATGTCTCCTTTTGGCTGATAATATTTCATTGTATAAATATTGACCTCATTTTGTTTATTCATTCATCTCTGAAAGGACATTTAGACTGTCTCTACTTTAGGATTATTGCTTAAACTTACATAAAATTGAAGTTCAGTTCCTCAGTCAAAGTAACCACAAGGAGCCAGTGACCACCACCACCATGTTGGACCACACAGCGATAAGACATTCCCATCCCCACATAAAGTCCATTGGACACAACAGACATTTAGAATCAAGTCCAGACATCTCCAGTGGGCTTCAAAGTTTCTCAAAGCTGGCCCAGCAACCTTTATTTCTTGAATTTGTCTTGAGTTTGCATTCTCATACCTCGATAATCCACTTTGAAACGCCCTTTTTTTTTTTTTTTTCCTTTCTCTCAAGAAACTTCTCCTTTCAGGCTTGCATTAAAGATAAGGCTTCCTCACAGTAGCCTCAACCCCTTCCCCCCCCCATTGTGCTACAGGATTAACAGCTGCTTCTGCTTCCTCAGGTTCTCGAAAAGGAGAGGGAATATGGGGACAAGGCTGCAGGCCTGGCCAAGCCCTGGGCGCCCCTAGCCCTAGGTCCTGGGTCTCATTTCCCCATTCTCCTGAGACAGCTCTGAATGGGTTCCTGATCTCAGCCTAGCCCTGCCCTACTGACAAAACAGAGCCATACAAAGGGTGCTTTGTGGTGAGCACACAGCTTCGGACAGGGAACACACCCTGGGTTACAGGTGGTGTAATCTGAGGCAGGCACTTGCTTTGTGTAGGGGGGGAACCGAAAAAACAAAACTCCTTTCTCTGCCCTCACAAAGAAAGTATATATACCTGGCTGCTCTGTTTTTTTTTTTTTCAAAAGGGTAACTGCTGGCAATATGAGTGTGTGTTTACTTTTTTAAAAAAACCAACTGAATATGTATCTGAAACAGGACACACATCTTGATAGCACAAGTTACCTTTTCACAAGGTGAGCAAACCCCTCGGAACTCGTCTAGATGCAGAAACATGATCAGCCCCCAAGAAGCCCCCTCGTGTCCCTCCCAGACTTCACTATTATCCCAGACTATCCCAGACTTTCAGGGATAACCACTTTCCTTAATTTTAGCTTATGGATTCCTTTTGCTTGTTTCTGAACTTTATGAACACGGCACCATACAGGGTGTATATATATGTGAGGGCTGCAGGAAGTTCATGGTAATTTTCCATGGTCTTCATTTCATTTTTCCAGTGAGCTTTGTGAACCCCCCTTGTGTATGTATGTGGCTCTGTAGGAAAAGAATTGGACGGCAAGTTCGGTGTGAACCGCTAGGTCAGCTGTTCAAACTCAACAGACACTCCTCGGAAGCCGTGTGTGTGTGTGTGTGTGTGTGTGTGTGTGTGTGTTTTGTTGTTAAGTGCTGTCAAGTCACTTATGACTCATAGCAAGCCTGTATAGGGTTTCTGAGGAGTAGCTGGTGGGTTTGAGTCACCGACCTTGCCTTCCAGTGCGTTATCCTACAGCACCATACCAGGACTCTATAGGGTAAGCAGTGGACTGCAAGGTCAACAGTTTAAACTCACCAGTCACTCCTTAGAAACTCTATACAGGGTCGCTATGAGTCAGACCATCTCGATGGCACTTCACAACAATAACACCACTATGTGCCTTGGAGTTTGGAGTTGATTTAGACTCATAGCAACGCTGGATAGGGTTTCTGAGGCTGTAGATCTTTTCAGGAGCAGACACCTTCATCTTTTACCCACTGAGTAGCTGGTAGAGTCGAACTGTTGACCTTGTGGTTAATAGACCAACTTGTAACCAACTATGCTACTAGAGCTCTCTCTCTCTCATCAACTATCAACATTCGCGGAAGCAGCAGTCAAGAGATCAGAGACGTATTGTGTTAGGCAAATCTGCTGCACAGGAACTTTTTAGTTGAAGAGCAAACTTGTTGAAGAGCAGAGATGTCAGCTTGAGGACTAAGGTGCGCCTGACCCAAGCCATGGTATTTTCAATAACCTCATATGGATGCGAAAGCTGGACGGTGAATAAGGAAGATCATAGAAGAATTGATGCCTTTGAATTGTGGTGTTGGAGGAGAATGCTAAAAGTGCTATGGGCTGCCAAAAGAACCAATAGATCTGTTTTGGAAGAAGTGCAGCCAGAGTGCTCCTTGGAGGCCAGGATGGCTAGGCTTTGTCTCTCATACTTTGGACACATTGTCCGGAGAGAACAGTCGCTGGAGAAGGATGTCATGCTGGGTAAGATGGAGGGTCAGAGAAAAAGAGGAAGACCCCCCAACCAGATGGATCGGCCAGGTGGCATCATTGATGGCATCAAGTATGGCGGCGGTAGTGAGGTTGGCCCAGGATTGGACATTGTTTCCTTCTGCTGTGCATGGGGTCGTTATGAGTCGGTTCCGACTCGATGGCACCTGACAAGAACAACAACATATATATATATATACACACACACACACACACACAAAAAAAAAAAAAACATTTCCCAATTAGCTCTTTGATACGTACACTTCAGTGATGTCTTAACTTCAATATATTTTACAACTGTTACAACCATCCTTTCCCACATGTTTTCAGATGAACTGAAGCCCAATGCCACCTCCTCTCCCCTCCTCTCCCTGCAGCTAATTGCTCCACCCTCCCTCTCACCCCTTGTTGTTGTTAAGTGCCATCGAGTCAGTTCTGTCCCATCGTGACCCTGTATAGGCAGCTGGTGAGGTTGAACCTCCGACCTTGCTGTTCAAACCGACTTTGCACGTTAACCCACAGTGTCCTGTAATTATTAATAATGTTTACTTTCTGTGTATTTGCTTATTTCATGTAGTTGGGATCATGCACTACTTGTCCATTTCTGGTTGACTTATTTCACTCTGCATGGTATTTTCAGGGTTCACCTATGTTGTAACGTGAATCAAGCCCCTTTTTTTTGTGTGTATGGCTGAGTAGTACTCCATTGAGTGGATGAGATCACATTTTGTGTATGGATTCTTCTGTTGATGGACTGTTCCTTCCTTCAGGCTGTTTTCCCTTCAGGCTGTTGTGAATAGTGTACAGAGCATTCGTGTACTGCAGAGTGTGTATTCTGCCTGTTAATAGTACAGTGGGTTAAGTGCTGGACAGTTTAAAGTCACCAGCCACTCGCAGGCAGTCTGCCTCTGTAAAGATGTACAGCCTCAGAAACCCTATGGGGCTTGGGACATGTTCCTCTGTCTTATAAGGGGGCCTGTTGAGTCGGTTCCAGCTCATAGAGATCCTGTATAGGGCTTCTGAGGAGCAGCTGGTGGGTTTAAACCACCTTCCTTGTAGTTAGAAGTCCAGTGCTGATCCTACAGCGCCATGCCAGGAGTCTATAAGTTTGTTAATAAGTGCTGTTGAGTCGGTTCTGACCTATAGTTACCCTGTATTGAGTTGCCAAGAGTGGTTGGTGAGCTTGACCCACCAAGCTTGTGGTTCAGACCGACTTTGCAGTGTAGCACGTTAACCCACAGCACCACACCAGGACTCTACCAAAATTGGCTTGACGGCAGTTGGCTTTTAACTTTTACTTGACTTCATTTCTTGCTACAGTCGGGTTTTTGTTTTTTTCTTGTAGCAAAAACTGCCATCCTTAAAGAAGAGGAAAAATCACTGGATTCTCAAGACAAGGCATTGTTTGGTGAAGAAATTTCTCGTCCCATTTGGTTGATGTCTCCCTTTGTGATTTGCTCAGTTTTGATGATTTTCGGTTGTTTGAGCTATTTGGCTATTACGTTTATTTAGAGGATCCCTTTCCAAGGTGATAACTTGGGGGTCTTGAAGGGGCACTGACAGGCCCTCTTTCTGACCTTTGGGCAAAGCTGTGGGTGCAACTAATCTCTTGAGATTTTTTGCTTGTCAGGGAGGAAGTTAAAGATTAGGGGAAAGATACCGCCTGTTGAGTTTCTGATTCCAGTGTCTTCTGTCTTTGTCTTAGGTGAAAATGTCGGTTCCAGGATCTTATCAGGCAGCTGCCGGGCCCTCCTCAGTGCCAAGCGCTCCCCCATCCTATGAAGAGATCGTCAACAGTTTCTACCCGTCACCTCCAGCACCCATACCAGGGCCAACCACAGGCCTTGTGACAGGCCCCGATGGGAAGGGCATGAACCCCCCCTCGTACTACACACAGCCAGTGCCGGTCCCCAACGCCAATGCCAGTACGTGTCCTCCTGCCCCTCAGCCCTCCATCCTGCCCTTACGTACTCCTTGGGCTTCAGGGGAGGGACTAAAAAGACCACCTAAAAAGTCTTAGCTTAGTGCCTTTCCATCCTGAAATTCCATAGTCAGTGCTTGAACTCACATCCGCGAGGCTCACACCATTCCATAGTAGATATAACTGAACATAGTTCCTATGTCTGCCGTAAATTAGCTTGTCACAAAGATACAACTGTTTATCCCAGAGAAATTTGGGAGTGTGGATCTGTGTTTCAGCTCCCATTCCACCTCTTCCTGGTGAGGTGTGACAGAGATTCACTGTTTCAGACCCAGGGCTGGAGTTGGGAGAGGGAGAAGCAGCAGCCGGGAATGGTATAGGTAAGCTGACACCCTCCCCCAGCTCACCATGAGTGCAAGGCTAGTCCTTTGCCTGGAGCAACTTTCTTATGTTCCCTGACCTTTGGCACTTTATGCCATGCAGGTATGCCCTAGTATATTGATTCAATGTTATAAGCAACCCAGAAAGTCCTGGCTCAGAGTGTGGGCCTGCAAATCAGACTGTGTCTGGGTTCACGTAATTGCCCTGTGACTCCATTTTCTCATCCGTAAAACACCGTGTTACCATAAACTGCCTTCAAATCGATTCAAACTCATAAGGACGCTCCCCGACAGAATAGAACTGCCCCATGGAGTTTCTAACTACCACTTCATCTGTCTCCCGAGCAACAGCTGTGGGTTCAAACCACCAACCTTTTCCATCAGCAGCCGAGCATTTAACCCTTAAGGTCGCCAGGGCCCCTCATTTCAGAACAGTGAGCTGTTGATATTACGAGAGACCCTAGGTGGTGCAGATGGTTCACATGCTCAGCTGTCCTCTGGACGACTGGAGGTGCATACCCACCTACAGGTACCTCAGAAGAAAGGTCTGGCAACCTCCTTCCCCCAGAATTCATCCATTTAAGACCCTTTGGAGTACAGTTCTGTTCTGACACACATGGGATCGCTAGGAGTCAGTCAACCTGAAAGCAGCTGATACAGTGTTGTTATTCATGTTGCCCTGTAGTTATTCTGACTTCTCAAGATGTATGTGGATGGGACAGTGACATTAGAGTTTCAGGTCTCATTGTGATCAATAAACAAACAAACAAAATCTGGCATAATGCACAAGCAACTGCTAAAGTAGCTTTTTATTACTGCTGCATTTTCTGCAAGGAGGTTCTTTTGAATGTTTTAAGTTCGCTTAACTCCGGGCACTGGTTCATTCTGCCCGCCCCCAGCATAAAGAGGATAGGACTGGCATTGTAGTGGCATAAACACAAACAGAAGGAAGTCACTGACAAAAAAACATGAGCCTACATAACTTTTCCAAGTGTGGTGGTTACGAGTCAGACTGCTAATCTCACAAGCTGTTCCGCGCGAGAAAGATGAGGCTCTCTGCTCCCGTGAAGGTATACAGCGTCGGAAACCTTATGCAGGGTCACTATGAGTTGGAACTGACTCCACAGCACAGAACCACCACCACTGAACCCTAAGTGCTTAACCATTTACAGGCCTGAGTCCCCTCTGATGATTGTGAATGCCCTTACATGTTCCCACATAACTTTTCTCTGCCTAGCGCTATTTCATACACTGATTTCATGTATCAGCACGGTTCACCAGCTTGGAATCTTCGGGAGCCGGTCAGCATTCGCTGGCTCAGTAAACACATCTGCTCTTGTCATTTGGAATTGGAGTTTATCAAGGACCTCTTTGAAATGAGTGGGCTGCTTAGTCAAGGATTAAACCTGTACCAGCCATAGTGCTTGCTAGCTTTTTTGTATCTCATAGAGAGTTCTGGCAGCAGAACTGAAGGAGATGCTATTACTTCCTTTTCTGAATAGCAGCTTTATTGACATGGAATTCACTTAGCATCAAGCTTGCCCTTTGAAAATGTACAGTTCAGAGGTTTTTAGTCTCGTTACAAGGGCAAGCAACTAATTCCGGAATATTATTATCACCCCTTTCCAAAACAAACCCAAACCAACAGTTTGGAACCCCATTGTTTTTGTTGTTGTTAAGTGCCGTCAAGTGATTTCTGACTCATAGCGGCCCTGTCTAGGGCTTCCAAGGGGTGGCTGGTGAGTTTGAACCAGCGACCTTGTGGTCCAGTGCTTTATCCACAGCGTCACACTTGGAATCCCACTAGCAATAATTTCCATGTACCTGGCAACCATTAATCTCCAGGTGAAAAAATTGAGGCTCAAATGCTATTTTTAAAATTAACCACCTTCAGACCGCTTTAGGAGAATCACATGGGAGGCATGAAAGACAATTTGGGGATCTTACCTCAGATCTACTCATTCAAAGTTTTTAAGGGGCAGGGATCAGGGATCTTCATTCTCAATTCAACACACCAAATGATTTTCTGAATAGTCCAGTTCACTTGCCTGGGCTACCTGAGTCAAATCTGTCTTCCAGGTAGACCAGAGTAGACCATTTCCATCTTGTGTGCAGAACCAAGGAAGCAGTGAAGGCCTGCACATCCTGCCACTTCTTCCCCAGTTGTCTTTGCTGGGTGTTTGTGTCCCTTGTTTGCTGAACCGCTGTCTGTCTCCTGTTCCCTCTATCTGTTGCTATGCACCCCCTGCCCCCCGGGTTGTCTTTTGTTGGGTGTTTTTTTTGCTTGTTTGCTGAACCTCCGTCTGTCTCCTGTTCCCTCTATCTGTTGCTATGCACTGCCCCCCCACCGCCCCCCGGGTTGTCTTTTGTTGGGTGTTTTTTGCTTGTTTGCTAAACCGCCATCTGTCTCCTGTTCCCTCTATCTGTTGCTATGCACCCCCCGCCCCCCGGGTTGTCTTTTGTTGGGTGTTTTTTTGCTTGTTTGCTGAGCCACCGTCTGTCTCCTGTTCCCTCCATCAGTTGCTGTTCAGACTGTGTATGTGCAACAGCCCATCTCATTTTTCGACCGCCCAGTCCAGATGTGCTGTCTCTCCTGCAACAAGATGATTGTGACACGGCTGTCCTATAATGCCGGCGCCCTCACCTGGCTCTCCTGTGGGAGCCTCTGCCTCCTGGGGTGAGTCTCAGGCCAGTTCCCTGGTCTCCTGCCTTCTCTTCTTGCAGATAACTGCCATCAGCTGATTCTGATGGTGGGACAAAGTAGAACTACCCCATAGGGTTTCCAAGGATATAATCTTTCTAGAAGCAGACTGCCACATCTTCCTCTGATGGAACAAGTGGTGAGTTGATAGCCAAGCATTTTAACCACTGTGCCACCCCGAGATCCTTTCTTGCAGAAAAGGCTTCGGATAATAATGTGATGTGGAGACTGCCGTATGCATTTTAGGATACTGAGCAGCATCCCTCATCTCTACCCAGAGTTTTTAAGGGTCAGGGATCAGGGATCTGCATTCTCAATCCAACAATCCAGATGATTTTATGAGTAAAATTGTTCATTGCGTGTAGACTTTCATGGCCTAAATAATGATGTTTGCTAGACTCTGAGAGGAATCTGGCACAGTCTGTACATTAGAACACTTTAGAGTCGTCTCTTCAAAACCTCTGACTCTTCTATGATGTCAAGGATTTTTCCCAATGCCGTCCCCGGGTGGGGGATTGTGTAAATATTGGTGTCTGCAACCAGGGTATTATATTTAAAGAGCTACTATCTCCATTCTTGGAGAGAAATTTGAGAACAGATGACTGTTCTGTAGCAGATAAATGTCGTTATTGTTAAGTGTTGTTGAGTCACTTCCGACTCATAGTGACCTTATTTAGGGTTTCCCAAGGAGTGGCTGGTGGGTTTGAACCTTGAACCTTGTGGTTAGCAGTCCAGTGCTTACCCTACAGCATCACACCAGGACTCCTTTTATTCTTGGTTGTATGAGCCATCATAGAGCCATCGTTGTGTGTGTTGGTGGGGAACAGATGACCAAATCTGGTGCCATTGAGCCAATCCTAACTCACAGTGACTCTACTGGACAAAACAGAACTCCCAGTAGGGTTTCCAAAGCTGTAAGTCTTTAAGAAGTGGACTGCCACATCTTTCCTGGAGAGACTGATGGGTTTGAACTGCCAGCCTTCCGATGAGCAGCCGTGCACTGAACCGTGGCACCACCAGGAGTCCTTGTAGTGGGGGAGGGAGCGTCGTTTTCTTCCTGGAAAGACAAGGCATGGGTATGTTTCTCTCCAGAACTGCTGACTCATGGTAATGTTGGTGAAGAAGGAAAAATATTTCTCTTCCTAATTTCAAAGAGGAACTTAAATCCCCTGAGAAATTGTCAACTCATCCTCAGCTTACGTGTGAAGAGGGACTGGACGAGAGACTCGGCGCGGGTTTCCTGGCACCTCAGTCCCTGTCCTGCCTGCGGAATCCCACTTCTGGTTTTTGGTTTCATGCCTCGGGCAGAAAATGCAAAATAAAAGTTCATTGACTTTGGTTTTAAAACTATGTTTTAGCTCAGAAATCGAGGAAAGACCATGGGTCCTGTGAGTACATGTGTGTGATCCAGTGAATGCAAGTGAAAACGGCCTCTCTGCATCTGGAAGCCTCTTGGAATGGTCACAACTGTTTTATTAGTTTGTTGGGGTTTCTTTCACAAATGACTGTTCACTATCTTGGTACTCATTTCACATTCTTGTTCATTCCTTTTTAAGAATCTAGAGGGAAATTATTATGTGACCATACTATCTTTAATGGTTTCTCAAAGATCCACTGGATAAAAATGCCTGTGAAAAAGGAAAGGCATTCAGGGAGATACAGAATGGAAACTCTACCAAGTATTGGTGTCAGCTGATTTGGCTTTCAAATTTGTCTCTACTTCCTTTTTGTCTGTACATGTAATTGTTAAGTGCCACTAAGTCGGTTCCTCTTCACGGCAACCCTGTATAGTGTTTCCGATGAGCAAAGATGGAAGGAATACACAAAGTCATTGTACCAAAAAGAAATGATCGGTTTTCAACCATTTCAAGAGGTAGCACATGATCAAGTAGCAGTGCTACTGAAGGAGGAAGTCCAAGGTGTATTGAAGGCATTGGTAAAGAACAAAGCACAAGAAATTGATGGAATACAAATTGAAATCTTTCAACAAACTGATGTGGCACTGGAGACACTCATCTATGCCAAGGAATTTGGGAGACAGTCACCTGACCAACTGATTGGAAGAGATCTTTATTTGTGACCATTCCGAAGAAAGGTGACCCAACGGAATGCGGAAACCATTGGGCAATATCATTCATATCACATGCAAGTCAAATTTTGTTACAGATAATTAAAAAACGGCTGCAGTCGAACATGTAACAAAAACAAAAATCCTCACCATCAGACCAAATAATAACATCCATATAAATAGAGAAGAAATTGAAGTTGTCCGAGACTTCATTTTGCTCTGCTCAATCACCAACATTCATAGAAGCAACAGTCAAGAAATCCAATGACGTATAGACAGAGAACTGTCAGAAATTCACGCAGGATTCACACGAGGATATGGAACAACGTATCATTGTTGACATCTGATGAATCTTAGCTGAAAGCAGAGAACACCAGAAAGATGTTTACCTGTGCTTTATTGACTATGCAAAGGCTTTTGATTATGTGGATCACGACAAGCTATGGACAACATTGTGGAGAATGAGTATTCCGGAGCATTTAATAGTGCTCATGAGGAACCTGTACATAGAACAAGAGACAGTTGTTCGAACAGAACAACAGATCACCGAATGGTTTAAAACTAGGAAAGGTGTGTGCCAGGTTTGTATCCTTTATACCATACGTATGAAGTCTGTATGCTGAGCATATCATCTGAGAAGCTGGATTATATGAAGAAAAATGTGGCATCAGGATTAGAAGAAGACTCATTAATAACCTATGATATGCAGATGATACAACCTAGCTTGCTGAAAGTGAAGAGGACTTAAAATACTTATTGATGAAGATCAAAGACCACAGCCTTTGGTATGGGTCATACCTCAGTGTAAAGAAAACAAAATTATTTCATATTGGACCAATAAATAACATCCATATAAATGAAAAAGAGATTGAAGTTGTCCAAGATTTCATTTTGCTCTGATCAACCATCAACACTCATAGAAACAGCAATCAGGAAATTAAACGATGTATGGCATTAGGCAAATCTACTGCACAAGATTTCTTTATAAAGTGTTCAAGAGCAGAGATGTCAGTTTGAGGACTAAAGTTTGCCTGAACAAAGCCACGGTATTTTCAATAACTTCATATGCATGTGAACATTGGACCATAAGAGAATTGATGCATTTGAATTATGGTGTTGGAAGGGAATATTAAAAGTACCATGGATTGACTACCAAAGAACAAATCTGTGTTGGATGAAGTACAGCCAGAATGCTCCCTAGAAACCAGGATGGCCAGACCTAATTTCTCATACTTGTGACATATTGTCAGTGACCGGTCACTGGAGAAGAACATCATGCTTGGTAAAGTGAAAGGTCAGTGAAAAAGAGGCAGACCCTTTTTGAGGTGGATTGATGAGATGGATTGGCTCAGTGGCAGCAGCAGATAGGCTCAAGCGTGGTGACGATTGTGAAATTGGTGCAGGATTGGACAGTGTTTTTTTGTTCGATTGTGCATAGGGTCACTTTGATTTGATGCTCACTCAATGGTACCTAACAATAATTGAGCTGTTGCTATAAGAAGGAGTCTTTCTGGAAAAGAACCTTAAGAAAAGCGCAGTTGAAGACAGAAGTTAGCCCAAGCTGGCACACTACCTGTTTTAAGTCTGATTCCCTTGTAGCCATGCCCCTTTGTGCCCCTATGGTCTGGGACAGCTTTCAGGCTGCAAGGGACAGATTTGAGCAGTCACATCAGAGCTTGCATGGATCACCAAGCCTAAAATATTCACCATCTGGCCCTTTGCAAAAGAAGTTTGCTGATGCCTGATCTAAGAAGTTGAATGATACTCAAATGACCCAAGGTTTGCAAATACACACAGGACTGGCCCTCTCTCTGGGAGCGACCTTGGCATTGGTCTGAATGTAAGTCACCTGTGACTGCGGTAACCAATGATTACAAACTCCAGGGGCTGCAGACAACAGAAATGGATTCTCTTAAGTCCTAGAGGTCCAAAGTCTCAAATCAAAGTGTCAGCAGGGCCTTGCCCCCTGCCAAACTCTCGGGGATAATCCTTTCTTGCCTCCACTGTCTGGTGACTCCAGGGATTTTTTTGGCTTGTGACTACAGCGCTCGGATTTCTATCTCCATCTTAACAGAGTGGATCTTCTGTCTCTTCAGTCTTCTTATCATATCTTCTATGTCTTCTGTGTGTTGCAGATCTCTTTCTCTGTTCTCTTACAAGGACGAATGTCAGTGGATTAAAAAAGGTCCATGGGTGGTACAGATGGTTTGTGCTCAACTACTAACCTAAATAAACAATAAACAACATTCTTATCAATGGAGAAAAGATTGAAGTTGTCAAGGACTTCATTCTTCTTGGATCAACTATCAACATGCACAGAAGCAGCAGTTAAGAAATCAAACAACGTAATGCATTAGGCAAATCTGCTGCACAAGAATTTTTAAAGTGTTGAAGAGCAAAGAAGTCAGCTTGAGGACTAAGGTGCACCTGACCCAAGCCATGGTATTTTCAATAACCTCATATGCATGCGAAAGCTGGACAGTGAATAAGGAAGACCGTAGAAGAATTGATGCTTTTGAGTTATGGTGTAGGAGGAGAATATTGCAAGTGTCATGGGCTGCCAAAAGAACCAACAGATCTGTGTTGGAAGAAGTGCAGCCAGAGTGCTCCTTGGAGGCCAAGATGGCCAAACTTCATCTCTCATACTTTGGACATATTGTCAGGAGGGAATAGTCACTCACTGGAGAAGGATATCATGTTTGGTAGGGTGGAGGGTCAGAGAAAAAGAGCAAGACCCCCAGCGCTATGGATTGGCAAAGTGGCAACATCAGTGGGCTCAAGCGTGACAGCAGTAGTGAGGTTAGCCCAGGATCGGGCAGTGTTTTGTTCTGTTGTGCATTGGGTCCCTGTGAGTCAGTACTGACTCAGTGGCACCTAACAACAACAACCACAACACTAACCTAAAAGTTGTCAGTTTGAACCCATCCAGAGGTGCTGTGGAAGAAAGGCCTGGCGGTCGGCATAGGTACAGATCACAGTGAAGAAAACCCTATGGAGCTCTGTTCTCAGTTGACACATGGGCTGCCAGGAGTCAGAATCCGTGTGACAGGATTGGTTTGGGTTTTCGTCCTTGGATCGAGAACCTACCCTAAATCCAAGATGACTTCTTCCCAAGGTCCTTAATTTTATTAACCAATAAATACTCTTTTTCCTAATAAGGCCGCAGGTTCTGGGGGTAAGGATATAGACATCTTTTTGAGGGACCGTGACTCCCACGGCAGTCTGTCACATGACCCGTACGTGATTCTTTTGTCTCTCCAGTTGCGTAGCCGGCTGCTGCTTCATCCCCTTCTGCGTGGACGCCCTGCAGGACGTGGACCATTACTGTCCAAACTGCAAAGCTCTCCTGGGAACCTACAAACGTTTGTAGGACTCTACCAGATGTGGAAGGAGCCATGCTCTGCAAGATGTCCTTTCTGACTCTCACCCAGTCCCACTCTGGTGGAGGTTCTGCCCCGGTGGTCTTAGCTCTCCTGGGGTCTGTTATCAAAAGTCACAAGCCTCCAAATCCAGACTCTGCTGCTTGGAGATACACAGGACATGCAAAGACATTCACCGCCAGGGTGGGCTCAGGGTCTCTTGCCCACCCGTGACCCCAGTTCACCCCATCTAACTGGGATGGTTGCCCTGTCTGAATACCTTCTGGTGATCTGCCTTGGGCTGGCTCCTTTTCCTGCTTCAATACACCCTTCAGGTGGTGGTCTCGAGCTGGGAAGTCACCGGTTGCCTTATTTCTTGAGACTCTTCTGGCCCGAGTGGAGTGAAACCTGCTCTGAGAGTCTACCATCTTACCCATCCCACCCCACAAATCTTGCCTTAAAGACTCCAAGGGCTTGTCTCTGATGATGTCATTTGCCAACTTTTCAGTAGCACACAAATTCACTTTAATTTTTTAATTCTTTTTTTTTTTTTAAGTACAAGGAGGGACAATTAATACCCTCCAGACACAAGACATGAGGTCATGAATGCGTGTTTGGAAACCAGGGCTGGATTTTATGGAGGTTGAACCTTTCATTGAGTATTAGTCCCCAATCCCCAATACCACATTCCATGAAGGCCTGTTTTCTCAGACAGCTATTGTTGGTATTAACAGCTTTTCTTACTCTCCTTTTGGTCTTAAACACCTCTTGAAGAGAATTTTGAAAGAAGGGATTTATAGAACCATTTTCCATAGCCATATGGCTGGTATCATTTTTTCATTTGTTAAACCTGCTTTTTTTTTAAAAAAAAAAAAAGACAGAAAAAGGAAATGAGTCATTTCAGCCACTTAAATTGAGTTTAGCATGGTTGTTAAAAAGCCTTTATAATGAACTCTCAAAATGGGGCTCTTTTTGGTTTCCTTGGTGATGTGTTTGGAAAGACCAGGGAAACACCATTGATTTTAGCCCAGGTATTGTGTCCCGTAAGGCTTGGCATGCTTCAAAGGAATCTGAAGCTTGATTTCATTTTACAGAAATACAATGTTTTATGGTATCAGAAGACATGATTTCTAGGGCTCCAGCAGCAAAACCAAATTCTGGCTGGGCTGTTAGAGTCATCTTTGAAATCAAGACAAAGCCAGACTCAACTGCGCAGCGTTCCCCTTTTGATAGTCAATCGTCACAGGGAAAACATAAGAATAACACTATGTAGAAATCAAACCTAGGTCGTGAACGAAATCTGTATATCGATTGAAAATTTTACCTGTAACTGTTGATTCTGTTTATTCACTTGATGTTTTGGATATTTCCATATTTCCTTTTTTTGTTGTTGCAATGAATATGGATATTCACGCAGTACTTTGTTTTGTTTTTTTCCCCCCCCTGCTTCTAAAGAAATAAAGTCTTTGGTTCATATGGTGAACTATTTATCGGTTCTTACAGTGTTGAAGAAAGGTCTTGTGTTGTGTTTCCAGCTATTGCTACAAAGAACCTTTATTTACTCTTATCACAGGAGAAAATCCAACGTGGTACAGACTTCAAATTTGCAGAATATCCTGCCATGTCAAGATGACCGATGTTGAGTAGTGTAGATTACTACCAAGGCAGATTTGGGCATTGGGTTATTTGAACCCCATGGCAACAAGCCATAGCTTTCAAGTTGTAATAAAATGCATGGAAGAAAGCGGTCCTCATTCATCCTCCAAACAAAATGGGCTTTGTTAGCTGATTGGGGTGGTTGTGAGATGTTAAGAAGGAGCCATGGTAAGGCACTAGGCATAGGAATATCTGGTCCCGACCCCCACTCCGGTTTCCTACCTGATGTTACAGCTTCATTCCAAGGCATGCAGGGGAATAACGCAGCATTGCATTACCACTGGAACCATAATTTATGGTCTGGAGGAATTGCTGCTTACGTAATCATGGTTGCGTGTTTTTCTTTTGCTTGACAGAATCCAAAGCCATGCATATTTAGCAGCTTTGCTCAGATGGTGGTATGAAAATGGTCTCAAGCTGTTATTAATTACAAATGCAATGGAAAACAAGAGCTCTATTCTCACAACCCCAAAATATATACTATCTGGATATTCAGAAACAATATGAGATGGCTTGAGTGCCACATAAAAGCCTTTGTTGGCCCTTCCATTTTATTGTGCAAAGTCTGCAGGCGTATTCATATCTGTTTACAAATGGAAAAGACTCTCTCCTTCTGCCGCCGTTTTGGGGGAACTTTGGGATGGTCTGTTGGGGACACTGAATCTCACACGTTGTACCTACTTGTATCCAAAAGAATGTTCACTGATTTCAAACCCAAAGTTGCAGGATATTTTATAACGGTGCCTGTGGCCATGTAACTAACGTAACCTTTCACCTAAACAAGGCTGGTTTGTGCCTTGTTAACAAAAGGCATTCTGTTATAAAATCTATTTGAGCTGCTATAAAAGCACTTGCTGACCGCAACACTGCCCATGAGAAGGTTGTCTCTGGGGTAGTGGTCAACCCTGTTGATACTGAGAATGCTTCTGTTAGGTGCTGAATTATTTCTAAATGTTGTTTCACAAACTCATTATTTGTTGTTGCTGTTAAGTGACGTCAAGCAGGTTCCAACGTTTAGTGACCCTGTATAGGGTTTTTGAGGAATGGCTGTTGGGTTTGAACCACCGACCTTGCAGTCCAGTGCATTATCCTACAATGCCATTCCAGGACTCCAGTTTAGCTTTGTTTGTTTTTTTTCTCCAAGAGCCCAGGGTGTTTGGGATGTGAAAATACTTATCTGACCCTGGGCGAAAGTAAATGTAGATGTTGGAATTTTAGTTAACAAAATTCTGATTTGCATTTTGGATCATATTTAAGTTATCTCCTGCTTTTTTTACTCAACGTTTACAATGAGTCATCTGTTTTTCATCTGAACATGAGTGGATTGAAAGCAGATCCAGCCAGAGCGATGAAAGAAACCTGATTTTTTTTTTTTTCAACCTAAGAAAGTTAAAACAAGATTCTGAGGTACAGGAAGATTTTTTAAAAAATAATAAAGCAATTCAGTATCATCTAATGCATTTAGCCATCTGTGTTGTGACTGTTGTCTGCAATAATAGTGTATTTAAGTATTTCCGGAGTTCTTAGTACTTCAACGTCTGTTATGTGATCTTGTCATTAGTTTTCCATACTGGGCAAACGTCCATTTAGTGACTATGCCCTTGTCACAGTGTGTCACAGGTTATTACCTGATGACCTCTTGGGTGCAGAACAGACCCGCTCCACAGGGTGTTCAAGGCAGTCCATGAACACTGGGAAGCAGACTGCAGGCCTTCCTTCAGAGGTACCCCTCAGTGGGTTCAAATGTGTAACATGCCACCCGGGACTCCTCATGGAAAGAGAACTAGCTCTGGTAGCGTAGTGGTTACAAGACAGGTTGCTAACCCCAAGGTCAGCAATTCTAAACTACCCACTGTTCCACTAGAGAAAGATGAGGCTTTTTGCTCCTATAAAGTTTTACAGCCTTGGAAACCCTTGTCAGGGTCACTGAGAATCTGTACTGACTCCCTCCACAGTGCGTAGCCACCCCTGCCAGGCGAATCCTGGGGATCGTGGTGGCTCTGTAGGATAAGCATAGGATTGAGAGCCACAGGGTTGGTAGTTTGAGCCCTTCAGCGGCTCCATGGGAAAAGATGAGGCTTTCTGCTCCCGTAAAGATTTACAGCCTTGGAAATCCTATACAGGGTTGCTATGACTCACAACCAACTGCACGGTACACCACCACCACCTCCCCTGTATACTGCAGGAGACCTTTTTAAAGTGTTGAAGAGCAAAGATGTCCGTTTGAAGACTAAGGTGCACCTGACCCAAGCCAAGGTATTTTCAATAGCCTCATATGCATGTGAAAGTTGGACAGTGAATAAGAAAGATCATAGAAGAATTGATGCATTTGAGTTATGATGTTGGAGAAGAATATTTAAAGTACTGTGGATTGCCTGAAAAACAAACAAATCTTATGTTGGATGAAGTATAGCCAGAATGCTCCTTAGAAGCCAGGAAGTCCAGACTTCATCTCTGACACTGGGCATATCATCGCAGTCCCTGGAGAAGAACATCATGCTTGGTAAAGTGTGGGGTCAGCGAAAAAGAGCAAGACCCCCAATGAGATGGATTGGCACAGTGGCAGCAGCAATGGACTCAAGCATAGCAACGATTGTTAGGTTGGCGCAGAACCAGGCAGTGTTTCATTCGGTTGTGCATAAGGTCATTATGAGTTGGTACCAACTCAACAGCACCTAAGAACAGCACTGTAGGCCCAGCTTGGGAGTCAGCGGTGGAAGAGGCTAACACCCCTCTGGTGTGACATCTCAGATAAGAACACCTGGCCCCACACAGTGTGATGTGACCAGAAGAGAAAAGTACAATGAAACCAAGTGTACCGGAGGATTTCGTATTTAGAGGAGACTTGTTGCACACTGCAGTCTAGTTGGCATCTGACTCATGACAACTGCATGGTCAGTGGGAGAAAACGCTGCCCAGACCTCCCCCACCCCTTGTAATCGGTTGTAGAGTGCACTGCTATGATTCTTGGGGATCTCATCACACTTTTGGAAATAGATTGCCCGGATTTGCTTCCTAATCCATGTTAGTCTGGAAGCTCCTCTGAAACCTGCTCAGCATTGCAGTCACCGTCACACGTCCACTGACAGGCAGTGACAACCATGAGGTGCACTGACCAGGAATTGAACTTGGTTCTCCAAATAGAAGGCAAGATCTCGATCCCTGAGCCACCACTAATCCCTAGTATTTAGGAAGTCAATTCCAACTCATAGGACCCTGTGAGACAGAGTAGAACGGCCCCCATAAGGTTTCCGGTACTAAATCTTGATGGGAGCAGGCAGCCTTGTGTTTCTCCTGTGGAGCGGCTGGTAGGTTTGAATCACTGACCTTGCGGTTAGCACCCCACTGAGCTACC